GGGGGGGGAAGGGGTTTGGCAACTTTTTTTTCCTGCGCACATGGCGCACAGGCCGCAACGCGCGCACAACGCACAGTGCGCGCTCTGCTAAACCTGCGCAAAGAGCACAGCGCACAGCGCACCGGCGCGCACACGTGCGCCGCAATTATGATAAATTCACTTCAGTATCTGATATGGTAGTTAATTGGGGTAGCAAGACACAGGGTTGGTGGATGCATTCCAACGGTGTCAGACCACCGAAACAACCTAGGGTAAAATGGTTATCCCTAGAATCCCCCATTCGGGTATTGGGTGTCTCCCTCATTGCTCTAGGGAGACCCTCTACAAATGATGATTGGATATCAAACCTGTGTTAGAAAAAATGTCCCAATGGAAAAATCAACATGCTTCTTTGTTTGGAAGGGCACTAATCATTAATAATGAAATATTAGCATCTATTTGGTACAAGTCAGCAATCTGGTCACTCACTAAGACTGCATCTAAGGCATTGAAAAATTTACTGATATCCTTTCTTTGCAGGGGCAATCATGAGACTCAGAGAGTAATTCCAAGGGTGGCCTGACTTACTCTCATTCAGCCAAAATCTAAGGGGGGATTAGGTATATTGGACCCATCCTTACAATGTCAGGCATTATCTCTTCAATGGATAAAATCATTGATATTTTCACCGAAGGTTCCTTGGCAACCTATGGCTTTAGAACAAATTAGGCATTTGGCGCCTTCCACAACTGATGAAATACATCCACTTACATGGGTAGAAAACTGTTATTGGGGTATTCCTAGAATGAATTTACATTCACATGAAGAAGGGGTGAGGGGAGCTGCGCGTAAGGATCCGGATAATTTTTGGGGTTCTCTCATTAAAACTTGGAGACAACTACCACTACCGGATAGACCATTTCCATCAAGGTATGAAGAAGTGTTAAGACAACCCCTTTTTGGTAATAGATGGATCACAAACCGTAATGGGTGTGTTTACAATAGTTCTTCACCTCCATGGTCAACCTGGATTAAAAGGGGAGTCTTGAGGATCAAAGACATATGAGATCCATCAGTAAAGAATTGGAAGATCGCTCAGATCACTCTCAGGTGTGCACACCACTTATCTGAAATGTTGGACCAAATAGTTTTCTCCATTCCGCTGACTTGGGTAAAAACGCTAAGAAAAGGATGTCGCCTGCARGATTCTGATTGGGTGGCAGGATATGATTCTAGTAATATATGGATAATAGGTCAAGTGGTATGCCAGTATCAGGATGGAGCAATGGTGAATATTTTTAATCTACAACGAGACAAATTTTTGTCTAGGTATGATCCAGACAAGGTGGACTGGGTTCCAAGTAAAATGTTATACAGGATTTGTTTTCTTCACCACATAGTACCTAACCACACATTATTCAGCCAATGGCAGGCCTATTACCCTGAAATCCCAATAGAGGAGCTCCCACTGGACCCTGAGGAGTGGACATGGCGGGTTTCGAAGAAGCGTAAACCCATAAAACTTCAATCCCTGACTGTCAAGGCAGCATATCGGTTGTTGAGGCCAAAAGTCGATGTTCCAACACTGGTGCAAGACAAACGGGTGAGACATCTCAACATTCACATAGATCAGATTCGTACAGTACGATGGTTTCGTTCTAGCAAGGAAAGACCAACTAAATTTGCTTCACTTTGATGGCAGATTACACATAGATGTCTACCTACTAATGACTGGCTAATAGACCACTCAACGTTAGAACAAAGAGGAGTAGCGTTACCATGGTGTCGTTCTTGCCACATGGCATTCCCTTCACGTAAATATCGTGAAACCATTGAACACATCTTCACTCAGTGTTGAGGGGCCATCCTTATGTGGTGTCAATGGGACTGTATTTGGCGAAGATTAACTGGCCTCAAGTGGCCTTGGGAATGGAGAGCCCTTTTACTGGGCCATTGGAATCAAGTAGACCTGCCCCTTTCAGTTAAATCTATTTTGTCTCGGTAGGAAAGCTATTATATGGGCCATATGGCAAAGGAGATGTGTACATGTAATGGAAGATGTACGTATGGAAGGGTTGGGATTTTTTTAGAATGTCGGGCAATTTGTCGAAACAGAGGTTCGAGCCCAATGGGCCGGCTAGGGGGATCACAGGAATGGAGAGCCCTTTTCTTAAAGGCAAATTAAAATCTATAACTCAGAAGAAGGACATCAAGAAATATATTCTCAAATTCACAATGGACCGGCTAGGGGGATCACAGGAACAGGGTATGGGGCAGGTGGTATGGCCTGATGAGAATGAGTCAATGTTGCCTCTCAAAAAGAGTTACTTTTTGCAGTTTAATGATTGGTTTGATATTAAACCAGGGGAGTTCTTCAGAGATGCTGCATGTTTTTTTGAACTATTCCCCCCCTCGGAGCTACCTTTAGTGGAATTTCAATGGTTTGGTGGAGGGGGGACGAACAATGAAGAATGAATCCTCATTATCAGAAGGGATAGAACTGCTACATGTGCATGCCCTTTATGGCGGTCTTTTCAGGACTGAAGAGGCGGTTTGATCCTACTGGTTCTCAGTAAAATTGTAATGATTGACATTTTAATGTTCTGTATAAGGGACGCTGAACCCGGTTTTCAGCAGGTGTTACTCCCCACCAATAGACTGGAGTCTCAACTGGGGGATTAGGAGTGGCTGCTCTTATCACCATTCCTAATGACTTCAGTTGGGTTTTGTTTAAAAAAAACAAAAAAACAAAAAGAAAGTCCGCTTGGGGCATACCCGAGCTGCAGTCTGTTCTTTCTCTTTCTTTTTTTTTTTTTAACAAGTGGAACCCGCCACGGCTATGCCGTGGCTCACAGCAACGCTCGCTGATGGCATCTCTCTCTCTCTCTCTCTCTCTCTCACACACACACACACACACACACACACACACACACACACACACACACACACAGAGGATGGGCAAAAACGGAATGAATCTTCCGCTGAAACGTGGAAAAATACACCGCCACTTTTTGAGCAAAATCGGAATGAATCGTTCGT